CACTCTAACCCCATCAATCTCCTTCTACTTCCCTGCCACCTTCCTGAACTTCCCTGGAATTTCCCCCTCCCTCAGTTGGCCTGGCCTCAGCTTAAACGTGACTTCCCATTTACAAGCCTTCTTTGACCACCCCATTCGAATTAATTTCTCCTGTTTTCCTCTCCATCGCATTGTCGAAGTATTTCTCATAAATTGTGATGGTACATATTTGTATGACTGCTAACTGTCTTTCCTGCCTGATCGCAGGACCCATGAGGAAAAGGACTGCTGCTTTTCAGTTCCGTGTTATTCTGTGCCTGGCATGTACTGATTGCTTAGTAAGTATCTGTGAAGTGAATAAATGAATCTTAAGTCCTTCATAAGGAATAGAGATTATGGGACTCAACTTTCTGAACTTCCACAGAGCAGACTGAGACTGATAAAGGTTACAAAATAAAATTTTTTAAAGAAAATAAAAATCTAACTATTAAAGCAGTTAGAAATGGAATTGGACGCTATTTTTAGGACACGCGTACCCATTAAGACAGGCATTCAAACGGTGCTCAACGTTTTTCAATTTGGGATGTGGTGAAGGTGATTCCTTTGCTTGCTGGGAAGTTAAGACATGTACTGACAGCTGGCCACAAAACAGACTATCCATTATGGGGCTGAGGAAGAAGGTCAGTAAAATATTGTTTTTTTTAAGATACCTTCAAATGCCAATATTTTATGGTAGTCTGCTCCTTTCTTCCTTTACTTGCTCACTTAATATGTAACACCACCACCACCACCGAACATAAACTGAGCACTTCAAGCTAAGCATTCTTCTAAGTCTCTAAAGAGGTAGGTACTATTATTATCCCCATATTACAGATGAGGAAACAGAGAGGTTAAGCAACTTTCCCAAGGTCACATAGGTGGTAAGGGGTGAGGTCAGGATTCAAATCCATGCAATTTCAGTCTAGAATCTTGTACTCTTAACCATATGCAGCGTCAGGCAAGTTGCCTGGTATGAGGGGTACAAAGA